CGCTTGCTCTATTACCGGAAAATAGTGCGAATGCGACATTGGGGACCCGCCGATCGTCGTGAAAATTCCTCCGCTCTCGCAATTCGGACAAGTGAGAAGTGCATTTTCTTTCGGAGTTTCTTTTTTTTTAAGTTTCACCGGATATACGTGAACCAGTCTCTAATATTTAGGATGTGTGATTTTGAATAAATCACTTTTCTTTTTTCTTTCTTTTTTTTTGAGAATACTGTTGCTGCTCTAATTTGAAATAGGAGATATAAATATAAATATAAATATATATATATAATGCAGCTTTCTTTGTACTTGTTACTGACATACTTGCTTCTGGCGCACATTACAGAAGTGAAAGAACGGGTGCATTTGTAGAGAGAGTATCTTATATAATTCACGTACATTATAAATAGCACCTCTTTTGTATATTAAAATACCGAAATTCTCGATCTTTTTTCTTTTTCTATTTTACGTATTTTATTTGAAACATTTGAAAAAGAGAGATATTAATATTTCATTTTTTTCGTTTTTCCGTCGATGATTGCGCATAAGGTAATAAAGGAGACTATAAAGTGCTATAAAAGTGATATGCATTGCTCATACAATCGATGAGTTTCAGTGATGGTGAAAAAAAATGATAAAGTAGTGAACATTAAAAAAAAAATGAAAATATTATTGTCAGTCTATGATAATAAAAAAGTGTGAATAAATGCTGGTATGTACATATGTGTATGTTCGTCAAGTTTGTAACTAATTTTAGTTATTGATAGAATTACAGCTTGAAGAAATTGGATATTTCTAAGTGAAATCTTTTTTTTTTAAACAGTGCAAAATATTTTCTTTGTTTCTTTTTTCTTCAAAAAAAAAAATAGAAATAAATTTATAGTAATGCAAACGAACATTTGTAATGTGTTGCCTTTTCGCGTTTCTACTGAATACGTGCGTTCACGTCGGTGAAATTCACTTTAAATTTTTCTACTCTCGCCGAAGGACTAAACTGAATTATTTTGAATCGCTCGTTCGCCACGCAACTTCGCTTCTGGTAGTTCTCAAGTGCATTTAATTCTGTAGGGACACGTGTGATCAATGAAAGTTGGCGCTACTCGGATGCTGCTGGCTTTGCTCCGCTGCAGTCTCTTGTGATTCGCACGATAAACGTTTCTCTTCTACGATAAAAACTGTTAACCGCCAACACGTTCACGTTTTTATTCGAATTCAGCTCTTTGACTTCCATATGAATATTTATTCGGATTCTATAGCATCGAGGACGTTCGTTTAAGACGATACGATGCGTTTATATATAGTTCAATCAAAGATAATCATTTTGCATTAATGGAAAAGGCATAATTTAATTAGTTAATAATACTTCGTCGAAAATTTTTATAATTGATTTACGATTTTATACATATGTTCAACCATGTCGCGTGAGTTGCTTAATTGCAAACAACGATTGCGAAGGAGAAATAATTCTATGCGATATTTTTGCCCGTCGCGCTGGATGTAGCTCGCACAGCCGCGCTCAGGCTACGACAGAAAACTGGAAATGATTGACCGCAATTTTATTAGAAAGTACGCGACGCGACGGGGCGACGACGTCGACGGAGCGGGCGAAATTAGAGAGGCGGACTATACCCGCGGTACTAATGAAACCGTCGTCGTCCCTCGAAAAGAAACGAATCGCGACGCATGGAAAGCTGGCCCGGTTTAATTGCAGAAGTCAAACATCGTATGCAACTTTCACCGACGTCTGTGTTTATGCATTATATGCCCTTTTGCTCCGTGGACTACGGTTGGGAG